ACTTCTGAAAAACAGGATGTGTCCTCTAGTCCTCATTAACTCAGAAACGTAGGGCATCAGCCATCAAGAGGTGTCATTTCTTCTGAGTCTCTTCTTCATTTCAGTGAGGAGGCAGCCACATCCATAAGAGAGTGAGATGCCTGCCTCACAGGGAGAGAGGTGGGAAGAGGCTTATAGGCCCAGCAGTCCTGCTTGCCTTTGGCCAACATCTAGAGCCACACAGATAGGATGGAATGGAAATTAACATTGATAAGAGAGTTACAGACTTTACCAGAACCAGATTCAAAATATGTCAGAAAATAGCTAAATTAGCTGAATGCCCACTAGAATATCCCCAAGGGGCCTTCAACCAGCCAGTTGGAAGATTTCTAGTTTAAGAAAATTAATCATCTAAAGGCATTTTTTTCCCTTGGATAGCTCTGATCACACTTCATCAAATGGTTACAAAACCCCTATTTCACCTCAGGCCTTGTGCTAAAGCCTAGTATACAAAGATGAATCAGAAACATCCACATCCTCAGGGAATTTCAATACAATACGGGAGGAAAACACATAAATGATGGTTTTTTATGTGTGAGAAATAACTGTAAGAACATAAATTTCTGTTGTTTAAGCCACCAGTATATGGTATTTTGTTATGGTAGCCTGAGCTAAGTCAGTAGTGGTGATGTAACATATATGATTGCAAAAAAAAATTTTTTTAAGAGTGATATATCTGATTGCGGCCGGGCACGGTGGCTCACGCCTGTAATCCCACCACTTTGGGAGGCTGAGGCGGGTGGATCATGAGGTCAAGCGATCGAGACCATCCTGGTCAACATGGTGAAACCTCGTCTCTCCTAAAAATACAAAAAATTAGCAGGGCATGGTGGCGCATGCCTGTAATCCCAGCTACTCAGGAGGCTGAGGCAGGAGAATTGCCTGAACTCAGGAGGCGGAGGTTGCGGTGAACCAAGATCGAGCCATTGCACTCCAGCCTGGGTAACAAGAGCGAAACTCCATCTAAAAAAAAAGATATATATATATATATCTGATTGCAATATGTTGTAAAGACAAGTAAAACAGAGAAAGGGAGCAGATATTGTTGAGGATTGATATGTTATATAAGTTTATTCTTTATTTAAAATGCTCCCTAAAAACTTTGGTTTTGGATTTTTTTCAGATTTTGGAATATTTGCATATACATAATGAGATAAACTTGGATGGGACCCAAGTCTGAACACGAAATTCATTTATGTTTAATACACACTTTAGATAATAGCCTGAAGATAACTTTATACAATATTTTTGTCATGATTCCCTGAACAATACAGTGTAACAACTATTTACATGGCATTTACATTGTATTAGGAATTATAAGAAACCTAGAGATGATTTAAAGCATGTGAGAGATGTATGTAGGTTATGTGAAAATACTGTAACATTTTATTTCTTTATTATTTTTAATTGTTACTAGTTTTTGTTTTGTTTTTTGAGATGGAGTCTCTCTCTGTCACCCAGGCTGGAGTGCAGTGGTTCAATTCTCAGCTCACTGCTACTTCTGCCTCCCAAGTTCAAACGATCCTCCTGTCTCAGCCTCCTGAGTTAGCTGGGATTACATGCATGCATTACCACAACCTGGTAATTTTTGTATTTTTGGTAGAGACGGGGTTTCGTCATGTTGGCCAAGCTAGTCAGGAACTCTTGACCTCAGGTGATCCACTGCTCTTGGCCTCCCAGAGTGTGGGATTACAGGCCTAAGCCACTGCATCCAGCCGAAAGTTTTGACTGTTTTGATTGTAACCTGTCACATGCCCAAGATATGAATCATCCCTTTGTACAGTGTATCTACACTGTAGGCGGTACCACCTTATCAGTAACTTAGGAGCTGTCTCTGTTGTCAGATCAACAGTTATTATATAGCAGTACTTGTTCAGTAACCCTTATTTTACTTAATAATGGACCCACAGTGCAATAGTAATAATGCTCACAATTCAGATATAGAAAAGAAACGCTGTAAAATGGCTGGGCATGGTGGTTCATGCCTGTAATCTCAGCACTTCAGGAGGCTGAGGTGGGTGGCTCACTGGAGGTCTCCAGAGTTTGAGACCAGCCTGACCAACATGGTGAAACCCTGTCTCTACTAATAATACAAAAAAAATTAGCTGGGCATGGTGGTGCACACCTGTAATCTCAGCTACTTGGGAGGCTGAGCCAGGAGAATTCCTTGAACATGGTAGGTGGAGGTTGCAGTAAGCCAAGAATCAAGCCATTACACTCCAGCCTGGGTGACAAGAGCAAAACTCCATCTAAAAAAAGAGAAAAAGAAAAATCTTACAACTACTGGATCTTCTTCTGTCTGTGTATTTACATGTGTTGTGTGTGTGTGATGTTTATATAAAAGAGCTCTAATTAATTGTCTTAAAGAAAAAGCACTTCAATATTTTGTCAGAAAAATTAAAACCATAATGCCCTTTAGTTAATGTGACTTTAATAATCTTTGGGAAATAAAGACAATTTTAAAGATTATTGGTAAAATGAAAATGTCTTTAAAATTTAGAAATTTTGTCTAAATGAGGTAGGTCGGATACTGACTTTACTAAACTACATAATCTGCTTCCTTGACATGATCATGGTTCAATTTACCTGCTTTGGAGCCATTAGATTCTAGATAACGCCTAGGGACATGTGTAGTTAGCCATGCCCTCTAGCTATGTAGGAAGGGTCAGACCTTATCTGCACTCTGGCTGGTGTCCCTGGCTCCACACCTGGTACATAATTAAACTTGGTTACTTACCAGGATTTTAAAAAATTTTTTGTAATGGATATAATTTAAACTGTAGAAAATAATAAAAGTTGAAAAGCATTAGGCAAGAATGCTTTTAACAGGTGGGCTATAATTTCTGAAACATAATTTTTTTAGTGTTTTATTTTTATCAAAAGATAAATTATGGTAGGATTGGTTTGGTTTATTATTCTTGGCTTAATTATTTGTATACAGTGAAGCAAGAATAATTATTTGCTACATAGATTTTTTAAATTGGCTTTGATGGAACTTGTTATATAGAAGGAATTTGAGATAAGACTTTTTAAAGCCAAGCCCAGTTATGCTTTCTGCTATTAAATACCTATGAGTTGGGTAATTTTTTTTTTTTTTTTTAGGTTTTAAGGTAACTTGGGGCTTTTGGCTGTTAGAAAGTGACTTTTTTGGCGGAGCACGGTGGCTCACGCCTGTAATCCCAGCACTTTGGGAGGCCGAGGCGGGCAGATCACAAGGTCAGGAGATCGAGACCATCCTGGCCAACATGGTGAAACCCTGTCTCTACTAAAAACACAAAAATTAGCTGGGCATGGTGGCGCGTGCCTGTAATCCCAGGTTCTCAGGAGGCTGAGGCAGGAGAATTGCCTGAACCCAGGAAGCAGAGGTTGCAGTGAGCCGAGATTGCGCCAGCGCCTGGCGACAGAGCAAGACTCTGTCTGGAAAAAAAAAAAAGAAAGTGACTTTTTTATTTTTCAGACAGAGGCTCACTCTGTCGCCAGGCTGGAGTGCAATGGCGCAATCTCAGTTCAATGCAACCTCCGCCTCCTGGGTTCAGTCGATAGTGACATTTTTTACTTGCCACAGATTAGAAACCCTGTACAGGGACTGTGCATACAAATTACGAGGCCAGTTTTTTAAGGGCTTTATTGGCTTTGTAATTCAGTTGGATTTTTTTTTTTTAACAGAGTCTTGCTCTGTCACCCAGGCTGAAGTGCAGTGGCAAGATATCGGCTCACTGCAAGCACTACCTCCCGAGTTCAAGCAATTCTCCTGCCTCAGCCTCTGAAGTAGCTGGGATTACAGGCGCCCACCACCATGCCCGAGTAATTGTTGCATTTTTAGTAGAGACGGGTTTCATCGTGATGGCCAGGCTGGTCTCTAATTCCTGATCTCAGGCAACCCACCTGCCTCGGACCTCCCAAAGTGCTGGGATTGCAGGCATGAGCCACCGCGCCTGGCCAAGTTTGATTTTTTGAAGGAGAGCATACTATTTTAGTTAAAGCCTTGGTAAAATAACCAGTTTTTTAAGTTGTGTTTCACTATTAAAGAAAATAGATTTTTATGGTACTGATGCAAACAACTATATTGTTGTAGTTTAAGAATACTTATAACTAGGTTTGAAATTTTAGATGAACTAGGCAGAGAAAAACAAACACATTTTAAATTTTATTTACAGGAGTATATTTTACTTACTTGTTAAAGGCTGTAGCTAGCTTAAGACAAGTTTTTTTTTAACTTGAAAAATAAGATAAAGATTAGCAGTATTTCAAGCAAAAGATAAAAACTTTTTTATTAGTTTATTTTATTAATTTTTGTTTTGCTTGATACTTAGAAACATTTTAGCTTTTTATGAATTTTGTACTTTTCTTGTTCCCAGAAACTTTTATTTGAGAGCACTTGTTAAGGTTTTACAGCTTGGTCACAAACGATTTTTTGAAGATAATTAAAACAAAATAACAATCGTCTGTAAATAACAAAATGTTTAGTTTGGATACATTGATGAACATAGTTGACAAGGAAATTTGGTTATTTTTGTGGTTTACAATAACTTAACAAATTTAATTGTTATTAATAGCACATATTTAGACACGAAAAAGACATTTTATACAGTTTCGGAATACATGTTATTATTATCATTATTATTATTATTATTTTTCACTGTTGTTACCCAGGCTGGAGTGCAATGGCACGATCTTGGCTCACCGCAACCTCCTCCTTCTGGGTTCAAGCAATTTTCCTGCCTCAGCCTCCCGAGTAGTTGGGACTACAGCCATGCCCAGCTAATTTTTGTATTTTTAGTAGAGACGGGGTTTCACCATGTTGACCAGGATCGTCTCCATCTCTTGACCTTGTGATCCACTGGCCTTGGCCTCCCAAAGTGCTGGGATTATAGGCGTGAGCCACCGCGCCCAGCCTAACATTATTTTTTAAAATATAACTTGGCTGGGCACGATGGCTCACACCTGTAATTCCAGCACTCTGGGAGGCCAAGGCAGGCAAATGACCTGAGGTCATGAGTTCAAGACCAGCTTGGCCAACATGGTGAAACCCTATCTCTACTAAAACTACAAAAATTACCTAGGCATGGTGGCATGCACCTGTAATCCCAGCTACCCAGGAGGCTGAGGCAGGAGAATAGCTGGAACCCAGGAGGCAGAGGTTGCAGTGAGCCGAGATTGCGCCACTGCATTCCAGCCTGGGTGACAGAGCAAGACTCTGTCTCAAAAATAAAATAAAAAATAACTTATTAGACATATTTTTGCAATTTTCTGTATCTAAACATGTTAAATAATTCTGTTTATCTTTTTAAAGATATTTTAGGGGTTAGGAAAGAAAATTTTGAAACTAAAGTTTGATTTTGGGAAGCCTGTTATATATGTTTAAATTTTAAAACACTTACTATTAAAATAGAATTTTTAGATTACCATAAGTTTTTTTGTTTGTTCTGTTTTGCCAAAATGGTGAGTTAAAAATTTGGAAAAGCAAGCCAGGTGCGGTGGCTCACGCCTGTAATTCCAGCACTTTAGGAGGCTGAGGCTGGCAGATCACCTGAGGTCAGGAGGTTGAGACCAACTTGACCAACATGGATAAACTCCGTGTTTACTAAAAACACAAAATTAACGGAGCATGGTGGCACATAACCTGTAATCATGACTACTTAGGAGCCTGAGTCAGGAGAATCACTTGAACTCAGGAGATGGAGGTTGTGGTGAGCTGAGATTATGCCATTGTACTCCAGCCTGGGCAACAAGAACAAAACTCCATCTCAAAAAAAAAAAAAAAAAAAGAAAGAAAGAAAAAGAAGAAGAAGAAGAAATTTGGAAAAGCAAAAAACCATTTATTAGCCTTTTTTGTTACATGGAAAATTTGTTTAAGAGAGAAAGTTCAATTTTACCTTTGCATTAGTTTGCTATTAATGCTAACCTTAATTTTAATGAAACCTTATAGGCAATTCTATTTAATTTTGACCAGTTTGACCATGAAGTGAGATTTTTATATATCTATAACTATTGACAAATTTTGCTAAAGTGTAGATTAGCATTTTAAGAAAACCTCATGGGGCTTTTATTTCAGGGTTTAATTTACAGAAAAAAACATATAATATCCTTTTAGTTAATATGTTTACACATAGACTTTTTTTTACAGGATTAATTTTTACAATGTTTTTACAATTTGCTTAAACTGTTTATTTTATTTAATTTTAAGATAATTTTTTAATTTTTAAGCAAAATGTACATTTTTATGCCTTTTTATACTTTTTTTTTTTAAATGGAGTCTCACTCTGTCGCCAGGCTGGAGTGCAGTGGCACGATCTTGGCTCACGGAAACCTCTGCCTCCCAGGTTCAAGTGATTCTCCTGCCCCAGCCTCCCGAGTAGCTGGGACTACAGGCGCCCACCACCACGCCCAGCTCATTTTTGTATTTTTAGTAGAGACGGGTTTTCACCATGTTGGCCAGGATGGTCTCAATCTCTTGATCTGATCTCGCAATCCACCTGCCTCGGCCTCTCAAAGTGCTGGGATTACAGGCGTGAGCCACTGTGCCTGGCCTCTTTTTTTAGAATTTTTAACTTAAAACACTTTTTCTGTTTTTATATATCTTGCATGCAACTTTATGTTTGGTAGTTTTAATGACATGTTATAATGGTAACTTTTCTCAATTTTTAACTATTATGTAAGGCCTTTCAATGTTTTTTAAATTATGTGCTAGATTCGAATGAAGTGTGACTTTTTTCAGCATAGTTAGGGGCATGGTTACTTTTATATGTTTTTGTCCTTACTGTAATGAACTGCAAGGAAATAGGTACACTGTTTGAAATGAGAAACTTTATTTAGGCAAGCACATGATGTTAAGAGTGGCCTGTGGTACCGGAGACAAGGAATGTTAAGTAATTGACATGGGACTTGTTAAGTTTTAGGAATACTGTAACTTAGGCATACTTAAAGAAACAACTTATTGTTTTAATAGGGATAAGTATATAATGAAAATATTTAATATTTATACCTCCTTTAAGAAGCCCTTTATTTTTTAAGTAGCAAGTAGTGCAAATTAATTTTTAACTTCTTTTTACCCTTTTTTTGCTAGAAATACTTAGGCATAACTAAAACATCCAAACAAATAACAGAAGGGATCAAATTCTTTTTTTCTTTTTTTTACTGTTACTTGAAACTAAAAACACCTTTTACTGTTTTTATATACTTTGCATGCAAATTCTGATTTTTTAAGTAATTAAAATTTTGAACTCTGCAAAACAGTTTAGTGTGATTTTGGAAAACAGTGGTAGAGCTGGAGAAGATACCTAAGAATTAAAACTTAAACCATAAATAGCACTGCTATATTTTAGCATAGCTAACTGGGACATTTAGCAAAAGCACACACACACAATAAAACCTCATAATTTTGCTGTAACAGAATAAAGTAAAATGGCAATATACACAGTATTACTTTGCTTAACATTTCCCTTAAAATATTTGATTTAAGTTCTTTTTTTAGGCCAGTTAATTAATTAGAGCTCTTATTAATAGACATTGCACACATAACACATATATAGCCACACAGACTACCAGAAGAAGATTTAGTAGTTATAAGATTTACATTTGCTAATTTCCTTATTGGGTTATTGGCCTGCTGGTGAGGCCCTTTAAGAACGCAGCTAGGAGAACAATTTTTAGGGCCTAATAAACAAGCATAGCTGGAAGACAAAGACAGATTTTGAGAGGTACTTATTTATTCTTAATTTCAGGGTTTCCATAGGAAAAACAGAGATTTTTCCCAAAATGGGATTTGTAGCACCTTTTCTGTTTTCCCAGGGAGTCCCAGGCCACCAGAAGTAATTTTAGGGTTTTTTATGCATGCACCAAGAGTACCAAGACAGAGTGGAGAAAAGTAATCTTGACTGAGAGAAAAACCTTTTTTAGGAAAACAAGATTTATGAAGAGAAAAACAGAAAGGCCTTTTGAATATACTTATAGCTTGGATATCGATTTTAATTAAGCTCAGCCCTCTTTTTTATTAAGGGTGACAGTGGAGGTTAGAATTATATAAATATTATGCCAAGTCAAATTAAAGGATTGAGTTATGTGCAAGAATTTCCTGCGATAATGAGAGGGATTTTTAGAGAAAGATTGTAGAAGCTGTTACATTTGCCACAAATTACACGTGGCCAAGGACACATTAACATTAGCAATGCTTTTAACCCTAGCCAAATTCCCAGAGAGAGAGAATGGCAGAGGAGGTTAGACTGGTTGGAGTAGTTTTTGAACAGTTGGAGAAGAAGGAGGAGTGGAGTTAAGTCTGAATATAGGGAACCTCTTGCCATTTGCCGTTTTGGTTATAAAGTTGTTAAGGTTCCCGAGAATTTGGAAGTTGAAAGTGTTGTTTTTGGGCCATTGGCTGTTATTATTTAGTTTGTATTGGGGCCAAGCTATATTGCAGTAGAAAATTAAACACTGGCTGGGTGCGGTGTCTCATGCCTGTAATCCCAACACTTTGGGAGGTGAGGTGGGCTGAAGGCTTGAGGTCAGGAGTTTGAGACCAGCCAGACCAACATGGCGAAACCCAGTCTCTACTAAAAATATAAAAATTAGCTGGGTGTGGTGGCTTGCACCTGTAATTTTGGCTACTCGGGAGGCTGAGGCAGGAGAATTGCTTGAACCCAGGAGGCAGAGGTTGCAGTGAACTGAGATCATGCCGCTGCACTCCAGCCTGGGCAACAGAGTAAGACTCCCTCAGAAAGAAAGGAAAGAAAAGAAAGAAAGAGAGGTAGGAAGGAAGAGAGGAAGGGAGAGAGGGAGCGAGGGAGGTGGGGAGGGAGGGAAGAAAGGAAATTAAACACTTCGGCTGTAGGGTTTCCAGTAAGCCAAGTTTGGTGAGATTGCAAAAGACAGCTGTCCAGTGGGGAGGGCATACGAATGTGGGATTGGCTGGCTCTCCTGTGGGCTGGTAAGAGGAAGTCAAGGGTGTTTGTTTTGTTTTAGGCATTCTCAGACAAAAGACAGAGACTCGGAATCCTCTCTCTGAAAGAGGAGGGTTAAACTGAAAAGGATCTGGGCATTTCCAAGATTTTCTCTAGTTTCATTCCATTGGTTCTCCAAGGACCTGGATGGCAGGCCGGACTTTTTCCAGTATGGGGAGAAAGCCAGGAGAAGGCAGATATTGCCAGTTGGCCTAATTAGTGTCCAATGTTGGATGTTTTGGTGAGAACTGGCAAGGGTCCTGGAGCCATGTGAGGAAGAGGAGAGAGAGAGAAAGAAAGAAGCGGGAGAAAGAGGGAGCAAGGGTTAGGGAGTAAAATATCTGTTTCAGGTGGCTGGAGGTGGATTTTTGAGACCTGAAGGTTTTGAGAGCCCACCAGAGGAGTAGCCCCACCCCAAGACTCACAGTTTTCTTCAGATTATTTGTTTTTCCCATGCGGATCACTTGAAAAGTGAAGTGGGTGGCCAGAGACCCTCAGGATCCAAGAGTTAACTTAGGATGAGCTTCCATTACCCACTGCTTCCTGGGGTGCAGGAGAGCCTCTGCCCCCAACACTTGTCCTGGGTTTCTGCACCACATGTAAGAATTAAAGAGGAAAGAGATTTGACAGTTAAGACAGGCTTATTTTAGAGAAAACAAACCTGACATGAGCGTTTGACCTGTTAGGTTAGAGGCACATTTTCTTACAGACTGAGTTTTTAAGGATTGAGGGTGGGAGTTTATTAGAGACATGAACTACTTTTGTGTTTCCTTGTTGTGCTTGTTTGGGAGGGAGAGATGTGTGTTTGTTTTTATACTTTTTTTTTTTTTTCCAGCTGCAGGCATACGCAGTCCCTCCACCCCAAGTCTGCTTTTAGTTTCCCTATCTTAATGCCCCTGAAGGGAAAGGAATGTGCTTATTAGGCCCACTGGTTTTACTGGGCCCATTGTATAAGAGGAAGTTTGGCAGTTATCCAAGAGACTTCCCCCCCACCTTCCTCTGTGCCCAGCTCTTTGATTTGTGTTTTACTGTTTGCTTTCTTTGACTGTTTGTAGTTAGAAGAGAAGTGATTTCCTTGAAATGCATAAAGCTAGAAAGGGAGCCAGAACCTAAAGTGGCAGTGTTTGTCTGTGATGACAGTGCCCCTTCTCTGTCAATAATATGATTTAGAGCATCTTTTCATATGCTTATTTGCCATCTCTATATTTTCCTTGGTGAGGTGTCAAAGTCTTCACCCATTTTTTAATCAAATCAAGTTGCTTGTTTTGTTTATTGTTGAGTTTTAAAAGCTCTTTGTATATTTTGCATCAGATAAGTCTTTTGCAGACATTTTCTCTCAGCCTGTAGCTTCTCTTTTCATTCTCTTGGCAACCTCTTTCATGGAGGAGACATTTTTAAATTTTATGAAGTCTAGCTTATCAATTCTTTCTTTCATGAACTCTGCCTTTTGTATGGTATCTAAAAATTCATTGCCGAACCCTAGGTCATCGAGATAGTCTCCTGTGTTATGTCCTTCTTTTTTTTTGAGACGGAGTCTTGCTCTGTCACCAGGCTGGAGTGCAATGGTGCAATCTTGGCTTACCGCAACCTCCGCCTCCCAGGTTCAAGAAATTCTCCTGACTCAGCCTTAAGAGTAGCTGGGATTACAGGCACGCACCATCAAGTCCAGCTACTTTTTGTATTTTTAGTAGAGACAGGGTTTCACCATGTTGGCCAGGATGGTCTCTATCTCTTGACCTCATGTTCCACTCGGCTCAGCCTCCCAAAGTGCTGGGACTACAGGTGTGAGCCACATTATCCAGCCTCTTGTGTTACCTTCCAAGAATGTGATAGTTTTGAGTTTTACATTTAGGTCTCTTACCCATTTTGAGTTAATTTTTTCAAAGCGGGGTGGGTGCGGTGGCTCATGCCTGTAATCCCAGCACTTTTGGAGGTCAAGGCTGGCAGATCATGAGATCAGGAGTTTGAGACCAGCCTGACCAACATGGCGAAACCCCATCTCTACTAAAAATACAAAAATTAGCTGGGCGTGGTGGCATGTGCCTGTAATCCCAGCTACTTAGGAGGCTGAACCTGGGAGGTAGAGGTTGCAGTGAGTCAAGATTGCACCATTGCACTTCCGCCTGGATGACAGAGTAAGACTCCATCTCCAAAAAAAAAATTTTTTCAAAGGATATAAAGTCTGTGTCTAGATTCATGTTTTTGCATGTGGATTTCCAGTTGTTGAAAAAAAACTCTCTGGGAGCTAAATGATGAGAAGTTATGAACATGAAGGAGACAATGGACACTGGGGTTTACTTGAGCAGGGAGGAAGGAGAGTAGCAGAAAAGATAACTATCAGGTACTGGGCTTAATACCTGGGTGATGTAATAATATGTACAACAAGCCCCCCGATGCCTGTTTGCCTGTATAACAAACCTATACAAGTACCCCCAAACCTAAAATAAAAGTTAAAAAAACAAAAAGAAAAAAACTCTCTTTTCTCCATTGTATTGCCTTTGCTCCCTTTTGAAGGATCAGTTGACAATATGAACATGAGTCTATTTCTGGGCTCTCTATTCTGTTCTGTTGTTCATTTTTTCCACCAATACCATACTGTCTGTCTTGATTACTGTAGCTTTAAAGTATCTTGAAGTCAGGTAGTGTCGGTTCTCCAACTTGGTTTTTCCTCTTCAATATTACGTTGCCTATTCTGAGCCTTTTGTACATATTGTTTTTCATAGCAGCCGCACTATTTTACATTTTCACTGTCAGTGCACAAGGGTTCATGTAACACCAATATTGAACACATGCTATTTAGTGGGGTTTTAAAAATAGTAGCCATAATAATGAGTGTGAGGTGGTATCTCATTGTGGTTTCCATTTGCATTTCCTTGATGATTTGAGATCTTGAGTATTTTTTTTTCTTTTTCTTCTTTTTTTTGAGACGGGCTCATTCTGTTGCCCAGGCTAGAGTGCAGTGGCATGATCTCAGCTCACTGCAACCTCTGCCTCCTGGGTTTAAGCAATTCTTCTGTCTCAGCCTCTCAAGTAGCTGGAACTACAGGCATGTGCCACCATGCCAGGCTAATTTTTGTATTTGAATTTTTTTTTTTTTGAGACATTGTTTTATTTATTCTGTTGCTCAGGCTGGAGTGCAGTGGTGCAATCTCAGCTCAATGCAAACTCTGCCCTCTGGGTTCAAGCAATTCTCCTGCCTCAGCCTCCCTAGTAGCTGGGATCACAGGCATGCACTACCATGCCCACCTAATTTTTGTATTTTTAGTAGAGACGGTCTTTTGCCATGCTAGCCAGGCTGGTCTCAAATTCCTGACCTCAAATGATCTGCCTGCCTCGGCCTCCCAAAGTGCTGGGGGATTACAGGTGTGAGCCACTGCACTCAGCCAAGAGCTTGAGTATCTTTTCATGTGCTTATTGGCCACTTATATATCTTCTTTGGAGAAATGTTTATTCAAGTACTTTGCCTTTTCTTTTCTTTTTTTTTTTTTTTTTTTTTGTCAGAGATAGAGTTTGGTTTTGTTGCCCAGACTGGAGTGCAGTGGTGTCATCTTGGCTGACTGCATCCTCCATCTCTCAGGCTCAAGTGATCTTCCTGTCTCAGCCTCCTAAACAGCTGGGACTACGAGCACATGCCACCACACCTGGCTAACATTTTTTTTTGTAGAGACAGAGTTTCACCATGTTACCTAGGCTGGTCTTGAACTCCTGAGCTCAAATGATCTGTTTGCCTTGGCCTTCCAAAGTGCTGTGATTACAAGCATGAGTCACCATGACTGGACCTTTGCCCATTTTTTAATCATGTTGTTTTGTTGTTATTGAGTTGCAGGAGTTCTTCATGTATTCTAGTTATTAACCCTTTATCAGATATATGAGTTGCAAATATTTTTCTCCAATTCCATACATTGCCTTTTTACTCTGTTGCATTCTTTGATGCACAAAGTCTTATTTTTGAAATTTTCAATTAAAAAAATTTTTTCAGAGACAGGGTCTCTCTCTGTCACTCAGTTTGGAGTGCAGTGGTGTGATCATAGCTCACTGCAACCTCAAACTCTTGGGCTCAAGCAGTACTCCCACTTCAGCCTTCAGAGTAACTAGGGTTATAGACCAGTGTTGTCGTGCCTGGCTACTTTTTAAAAAATTTTTTGTAGAGATGGGTTTTACTATGTTGCCCAGGCTGGTCTTCAACTCTTGAATTCAAGCAATCCTCCTGCCTTGGCCTTGGCCTCTCAAAGTGCTGAAATTAAAGGCATGAGCCACCATGCCTGGACCACAAAATTTGTAGATTTTAATGTAATACCTTTATCTGTTTCTACTTTTGTTGGCTGTGATGCCATATCCAAAAAATTATTGCTAAATGTAATGAAGTTTTTTCACGATGTTTTCTTCTTCTTTTTTTTTCTTTTCTTTTTGAGACAGAGTCTCTCTCTGTTGCCCAATGATCAGTAGCCTAAGGTGCACATGTTTTCTTTTAAGACATAGTTTCATTCTTGTTGTCCAGGCTGGAGTGCAGAGGCATGGTCTTGGCTCACTGCAACCTCTGCCCCCTGGGTTCAAGTGATTCTCCTACCTCAACCTCCAAAGTAGCTGGGATTACAGGCACCCACTGCCACACACAGCTAATTTTTTGTATTTTTAGTAGAGACGGGGCTTCATCATGTTGGCCAGTCTGGCCTTGAACTCCTGACCTTATGATCCACCTGTCTCAGCATCCCAAAGTGCTGGGATTATAGGCATGAGCCTCCACACATGGCCTTATGTTTTCTTCTTAGAGTTTGACAATTTTTGCTTTGATAGTAATTTGATCAATTCTTAGTTAACTTTTGTATATGGTATAAGTAAGATCCAACTT